CTTCTCTGTGTCCATCCCTCCATGCCCTCCTGCCCCCTGAGCTGTCTCCCTGTGCATTAACAGCCCTTCTTCCTCCCATGATTGTTCTCTCCAAGGAATGTATCTACCTCAGGTAAATGTTCAACTCCTATGCCTGTCTTTTGTTTGGCTGGAAGCCACAGGTGTGGGTTCAATCATGGATGATGTTCTTAATGTCATCGCACTCAGCTGGTTTAACAAACAGTGCAGTTCTGGAGGCACTCACTTGTTTGTGCCAAGAAATTTGGATGATAGCTACTTGGCCAACCAGCTGGGAGAGATCCATATTTATGCTCATCCCAAAGAACGGTGATCCAACAGAATGTGGAAATTAACGAATGATATCATTAATATCACACTCAAGTAAAATTTTGCTGAAGATAATTAAAAAACAGTTGCAGTAGTGTATTGACAGGGAACAGCCAGAAATTCAAGCTGGGTTCAGAAGAGGGCATAAACGAGGGTATCACTGCTAATGTCAGATGGATCTTGGCTAAAAATGGTGAATACCAGAGAGATATTTACCTGTGTTGTATTGACTGTGCCAAGGCATTCAACTATGTGGATCATAACTATTTGTAGATAACACTGTGAAGAATGGGAATTCCAGAACACTTAATCATGCTCATGAGGAACCTGTACATAGACCAAGAGGTAGTCGTTTGAACAGAACAAGAGGATACTGCATGGCTTAAAATTAGGAAATGTGTGTGCCAAGGGTCTATCATTTCACCATACTTGTTCAATCTGTAGGCTGAGCAGATAATCTGAGAAGCTGGACTATAAGAAGATGAATGCAGCATCAAGATTGGAGGAAGACTCATTAACAACCTGTGATATGCAGATGACACAACCTTCGTTGCTTAAAGTGAGGATGACTTGAAGCACTTATTGATAAAGATCAAAGACTACAGTCTGCAGTATGGATTACACCTTGACATGAGGAAGACAAAAGTCTTTACAACTGGATCCATAAGTAACATCATGACAAATGGAGAAAAGATGGAAGTTGTCAGGGATTTCATTTTACTTGGATCCACAATAAATACCCATGGAAGCAGCAGTCAGAAAATTAGATGTTGTAGCGCACTGGGCAAATCTTCTGCAAAAAACCTCTTTATAGTGTTAAAGAGCAAAGATGTTATTCTGAAGACTAACCTAAACCATGGTGTTTTCAGTCACCTCATATGCATGTGAAAGCTGGACAATGAATAAGGAAGACTAAGAAGCATTGATGCACTTGAATTACAGTGTTGGTGAAGAATACTGGAAACGAACAAAGTTTTCCCGGAAGAAGTGCACCCAGAATGCTCCTTGGAAGCGAGAATGGCCAGACTTCGTCTCACCTACTTTGCTCATGTTGTCAGAAGGGACCATTCCCTGGAGAAGGATGTCATGCGTGGTAAAGTGGTGGGTCAGGGAAATTTAGGGGAAGACCCTTAACAAGAGAGACTGACACAGTGGGTGTGATGATGGAATCAAGCATAACAAATATCATGAGGATGGTGCTGGACCGGGCAGAGTTTCGTTCTGGTGTACATAGGGCCAGATTATGGGTACAATTATGAGTTGGAGCCATTGGGCGCCTAACAAGAACATCCGTTTATACTAATACCTGAAATAAGGTAGTGTTAGACCTCCAACTTTTATTTTCTGAGTTATTTTGACCATTCTAGATCCTTTGAATTTCGGATTCAGCTTGTCTGTTTCTACCAAGAAGCCTGCTGGGGGTTTTGTGTCAATTGCACTAAATCTAAAGGTCAATTTGGGAGAACTGACATCTTAAGAATATTGGGGTTTCCAACCCATAAACAAGGTGTCTGTCTCCATTTATTTAGATACTCTTGAATTTATCTCAACAAGGTTTTGTAGTTTTCAGAGTACAGGGCTTTAAAAGCTCTTTTGTCAGATTCATCTCTAATAAGTATTTCGTATTTTTGAATGCTATTATAAATGATGTTGTCGTTGTTGTTATGTGCCATCGAGTTGGACCCGACTCATAGTGACCCCTCCTTGGGTTTGCGACGGAAGTAGATTGCCCCATTTTTTTAAAAATTTCAATTTCTGGTTGTTTCCTGATAGTATATTGAAATACATTTTTTTTTTTTTTAAATATTGATCTTATATCCTGAAACCTTGCTAAACTTGCTATTCAATTCTAGTAGCTTTTCTGATTAGTGACTGAGTCCTTGAACTGAGAGCGGGCTAATGTGGAGTGTCTACTGCATTTGGACCAGACGAGAACAATAGGAGAGGCTATACATTGTTATTTTTAATGAAGTGGTCTTTAGTGAGTTGGACTGGAAGTGGGGGGCCCTGGGGAGGTGTTTCTGGAAATTACAAGCTGAAGAAATAAGGTTCCTCCTATCCACCCCTGGCTGCCATTTTTTTTTTTTTTCATTTCTTCTTTTGATGTGGATATGTAAGAGATACTGGTGTTGCTTCCCTCTGCCCTCAGGGGAGCTGGTGCCAAAGATGAGCCTGTGACATCAGGCCTCTTCTCAGTTTGCAGAGTCTGTCCTCCTGTGCTGAGGTCTGAGTGGGACCATCTGTTGCTCCTGTTGCTTCTGCCACGATTTCTCTTTCCACCTGGGGGAAGGAGAAGCAGCGTCCAGGAGCAGAGTTGAGTGGTCTCCTGGGCACTGCTCACTCATTTGATTTCTTTTTGCACGTTTTTGCTCGCTTGCTTTGCTTTCTGTCCATACCACCCACTGTTTCTAGGATTTGGGAGCCCCAAGGAGGATTCCAGGGAACTCAGCCCATCTGTGGGAACAGAACCCCGAGTCAGGAGGCAGGAGGTCTGCTGCATTCTAGGCTTGGCTCCACCCACCGGGATGTGGCTGAATGACCTTAGGTAAGGCCTTGTTCTTCCCTGGATCTGGCCTTATTTGTCAAGAGGGCTGGACCAAGCAACTGTGAGCTTCTTACAACTATGACGACAGGGAGGATAAGGAGGGTACAGCTTACCTGTTTTCCAGGTCCTGAAGTGTGTTGGGTAGTGGCTGGCCCTCGGTCTCTGGCAGAAGGACAGGGATGGTGCTGACAGCCACAGGCATAGCACCATAGATAAGGAGAGGAAGGGAGGGGTGGAGCTTGGCTGTCATGGCCGCTAGTGGACTCAGACAGCTGCCTATGTTCCCCAAGAATATCATCATGTTCAGACCTCTCTGCCTGTGAAGAGGAAGAATACAGTGGGTCCTGTGAGTGCCTTCATGCTGCCTGCTCTCAACATAGAGTCAAACACTTGTGTGTAACTGGCTCAAAGGAAATCTGGGAGGCAAATGGCTTGAGAACCAGGAGATATGGGTTCCAGTCTCGATTTGGACCTGTTGTGTGACTGTGAACAAGTTCCCAACCCACCTGTCTCTTGTCTGCAGGCTAGACACATAACTTCCTACTTTATGTCTTCATTTGGATATCTACAAGAGCTCCCTCATTTTTTATGATCAAGACACTCTTCATTTCTACCTCTGAGCCTGCTTCTTCCCCCAGCTTCCCTCATCTTAGTAAGTGGCATCTTCCATCATCCGCTTGCTCAAGCCAAGTAGCTAGGACTTATCTTCGATGCCTCCTGTTCCCTTGTTTTCCCCACATTCAGAAGATAAATCTGTGTGGCTCTTCCTTCAAAACACATGCAGCGTCAGTTCCCTTCTGTCTTCACAACCACTGTCTGCCACTTAACTCCAAGCCACTTTCATCTCTGCCTGGGGGACTTCAGTATCCTTCTGACTGGCCTTCTTATGTCTACTCTTGGCCTTGGCCATATCTCCCCAGCCTATTCTTTCTTTGGCAGAAGCCAAAGTAGTCTTTTAAAACTATAACTTGTATTATTTTACTTCCTGCTTAAAATCACCCAGTGATGTCCCATGGTAGTAGAATAAAATACTGCCTCCATAAAAATCCCTACCTGATTTGACCCCTGCCTGCATTAGTTCTTATCTTGTACTCTGACCCTCTATTTCCACCTTAAAGCCTTCAGACTTGCTGTCCTCCTTCCATCTTGATTGGGAGCCTTACCTGATTACCCGATCACCTGAAGTAGTGTGCCAGTCTCTCTTTTCTTTTCTTTTTTTTTTTTTCACCTCAGGTGCAGAGGGTTAAGTTTAGGACCCTGGTTTATGACCTGCTCTTATAAAAAGCCCTCATTCCCCCCTTAAATTGTGTATTCCCCTTTATCACCATTACCAGTCCTCCCTGGGTCAGTTCTGATTCATGGTGACCCCACATGTGTCAGAATAGAACTGTGGTGCTCCGTATGGTTTTCAATGGCTGATTTTTTTTTGGGAATTAGATGGCCAGGCTTTTCTTTCAAGATACCTTTGGGCAGACTCAAACCTCCAACCTTTGGATCAGCAGCTGAAACCCTTTTTGATATAATCAAATTGATGTTGTTGTTAGGTGCCATATACTAAGGTATATATGTAACCAAAAAACCAAACTCACTGCCATTGAGTCAGTTCCAACTTACAGTGATCCTTTTAGGACAAAGTAGAACTACCCCATAGGGTTTCTAAGGATGTAAATCTTTATGGAAGAAGACTGCCTCATCTTTCTCTCGTGGAGTGGCTGGTGGGTTCAAACTGTCGACCTTTTGGTTAGTAGCCAAATGCTTTACTCACACCACCACCAGAGATCCTTAACGTTGAGCTTACTGCATTGGCCAGGAGTAGAACCCGGATCAAGTGCTTGGGAGGCAGCTGTGTTTACCACTATACAACCAACACTGCACAGTCCAGGCAGCCAGTCTGAGTGTAGTGGGGTTTACAACTAATTGACCACAGCCAGTTACAGATTTCTTTGTTCCTATACTTGCAGGTGGAATGCTCCTTGGAAGTGAGAATGGCCAGACCTTGTCTCAGCTACTTTAGTCATGTAATCAGAAAGGACCATTCCCTGGAGAAGGACATCCTGCTTGGTGAAGTAGAGGGTCAGCGAAAAAGAGGAAGACCCTTAATGAGATGGAGTGTGACCCAGTGGCTGCAGGGATGGGCTCAAGCACAGTAAGGATTATGTGGATGTCACAAGACCAGGCAGTGTTTCCTTCTTCTGTACATGGGGTTGCTGTGAGGCGGAGCTGACTCCATGGCACCTAACAACAACAACATCCGTGTAAAGCATATATAAACCCACGGTGCTTAAAAGCACCAAAGGGCAGGAAAGATAGGAAGAACCAGACCAATAGTCATAGGGAAAATGGGAACCCAGATTGGTAAACAGAACACCTAGGACCAAAGCAAATGCTAAACTTAAAGGGAAAATTTAGATGCATTCTCTTTGAGATCAGAAGCAACTGTTTAATGTCGTACTAGTGGGCCTGGCAATACTACTGGAAAAAAAACAAAAAAGGAAATAAGAAATGTAAGTATTAAAAGGAAAGAGTTAAAAATGTCATTGTTTAAAGAGAATACGATCATTTAACTAGATAAACCAACAAAATCAATAAACAATTAAAACTCAGAAGAGAGTTCAATAAGGATGTTGGGTATAAAATCAAATTACCAAAATATCAATAGCAATTAACCAATTAGAACATATAGTTTTAAAAATTAAGGTACCATTCAGAAAAATACCAAAAACTGTATTTTCTTAGGGAATTAACAAAGAAGCCCAAAGAGTGACATGGAGAAACTTCTAAAAACTCTTCTAAGATTGTAAAGATGATCCAACTAAATGAAGAGAATCTCCATATGCTTGTTGGGAATGACACAATATTCTAAAGATGTCAGTCCTCCTTAAATTAAATTAATTCATATAAATTTATAGAACCCAATGCAATCTTAATCAGAATTTCAACTATTTTTTAGTAACTCCAAAAATTTACTCTAAAATTTGTATGGAATAAAGAACCACAACTGGTAAGTCAATTTTGAAACAGAAAAGCAAAGAGATGGTCGAGACTTACGTTATCATCTTCAGACATATGACAAAGCCATAGTAACAAAAACAGTGTGGTATTGGTGCAAGAGTAGAGAAACAGAATTTAAGAGAGAGCATGGAGATAGAGAGATATAGCTATGGATATAGAAATAAACGATAGTGATAAAGACAGACATGGAGATGCAGATACAGATTTAGATGTAGTTATATAGCGATTATATCAATTTGACTTATTCATTGCAAATACCAGTTTTCAACAACATAAAAGATGACTATACATGTGGACCTCAGCAGATGGAATACATAAGAAGCAAATAGACCACAAATCAAATTACCAAAACATCTGTGGGAAGAGACAATGAATAAGCTCAATATCAGCTAGACCAAGGTCAGGGGCCGACTGAAGAACAGATCACCACTTGCTCCTATGCAAGTTCAGGTTGAAGCTGAAGAAACTAGTCCATGAGAGCTAAAATATGACCTTGCGTATATTCTACCATCTCAAGAATAGATTTGACACATGGAACACTAATGGCTGATACTAGATGAGTTGTAGGATAACATAAAGGACATCATACATGAAGAAAGCAAAAAGTCATTAAAAATACAAGAAAGAAAAGAAAGACCAAAATGGATATGAGAAAAGACTCTGAAACTTGCTCTTGAATGTAGAGTAGCTAAAGTGAGTGGAAGAATTGATAAAGTAAAAGAGCTGAAGAGATGATTTAAAAAGCTGGCTTGAGAGGACAAAGTACAGTATAATATCAAAATGTACAGAGACTTAGAAAACCAAAAAGGAAGAACATGCTGAACATTTCTTAAGCTGAAAGAACTAAAGAAAAATTGCAGCCTCAAGTTGTAATATTGCATGATTCAGGAAGCATCAAAAGAAGGTAGAAGGAATATAGAGTCACTGTACCAAAAGGAATGGGTTGACATTCACTCATTTCAGGGCGTAGCATATGATAAAGAACCAATGGTATTGGAGGAAGAAGTCCAAATTGCGCTGAAGGCATTGGCATAGATCATAACAAATTATGGATAACACTGTGAAGAATGGGAATTCCAGAACACTTAATTGTGCTCAAGAGAAACCTGTACATAGACCAAAGGACTGTTGTTCAAACAGAACAAGGGGATATTGCATGGTTTAATATCAAGAAAGGTATGTGTCAGGATTGTATCCTTTCACCACACTTATACAGTTTGTAGTCTGAGCAACCAGTCTGAGAAGCTGGACTATAAGAAGAAGAACATGGCATCAGGATTGGAGGAAGACTCATTAACAACCTGTGATATGCAGATGACACACCTTGTTAGCTCAAAGTCGAGAGGACTTGAAGCACTTACGAAGATCACAGTCAATCCTTCAGTATGGATTATACCTCAGCATAAAACAAATATCCTTACATTGGACCAGTAAGAAACATCACAATAAATGGAGAAAAGATTGATTGTCAGGGATTTCATTTTACTTGGATCCACAAACAATGCCCGTGGAGGCAGCGGTCAGGATATCAAGTGACATATTGCACTGGGCAAATCTGCTGCAAGAGATCTCCTTAAAGTGTTAAAAAGCAAAAGTGTCACTTTGAGAACTAAGATGCACCTGACCCAAGCCATATTTCAATTACCTTTTATGCATGTGAAAGCTGGACAATGAATAAGGAAGACTGAAGATGAATTGATGCATTTAAATTATGGTGTTGATGATGAATATACTATCATGCCAGGAAAATGAACAAATTTGTTCTGGAAGAAGTACAACTGGAATAGTTCTTAGTTGCAAGGATGGCCAGACCGTCTCACTTACTTTGGACATGTTAACAAGAGGGACCATCCCTGGAGAAGAACATCACGCTTGGTAAAATAGTGGGTGTATTAGGCTGGGTTCTCTAGAGAAGCAAAACAAGTAAAGCTTATAAATAGAGAGAGAGAGAGAGAGAGAGAGAGAGAGAGAGAGAGAGAAATTTATCTTAGGAAAATGGCTCACACACTTATAGAAGCTGGCAAGTCCCAAGTTCTTGGATCAAACTGGAAGGTTTTCCTGACTCATGCAGCTGCAGGGGCTGAGGAGCTCAAGGTTGGCAGGCAGTATACTGGCTGTTGACTTCAATGAATGACGAATCCAAGATCTCCAGGCTAAATAGCGGATTGTTCGCTTACGGGCAGTTGGAGGCAGCACAACAGGATCCCGATTCACAGGAGAGTGTCTCTTTTCCCAGGATGTCCATAAATATATTGGAAGCAGGCCAATGGAAACAGCCCTAGGGAAACTCTCTTTCAACCAACTGGCTGCTCAAAACATATATATATATATATATATATATATATATATATATTTGATCTCATCATGTGAATAACCACATCACAACTGCTTAAACCACTCAGAATCGTGGTCCAGCCAACCTGACACACAACCCACAACTATCACGGTGGGTCAGTGAGAAAGAAGCCCCTCAATGAGATGTCTTGACACAGTGGCTGCAACAACAGTGGGCTCAAATGTAGCAAGGGTTGTGAGGACAGCATAGGACTGAGCAGTGTTTTATTCTGTTTATGTAGGATTGTTATGAGTCCGAACTGACTTCATTACACCTAATACCAACAATAAATCAGTTTTGCCTTCCTGGGATAAACTCCATTTGGTCATAATGTATTACCTTTTTTATTCTTTGTTGCATTCATTTTTCTAATATTCTGTTTAGGATTTTTTATCTATGTTCACGAGTGACATTAAACTATAATCAGTCATTTACAAACAAACTATTCTTTAGTTTCAGTATCAAGATCCTGAAGTGATTTTGTTGTTTTCTGTCCTTTTTTTTTTGAAAAGTTTCTGTAAGACTGGAAGAATTATTCCTTAAAAGTGTGGTAGAACTCCAGGTGGATAGATGGGTGGACAGGTTGAATGAGCAGGTATGTCTAGGCAGGGGAGAATGTGCCCATGACCGTGTATTAGGGTTGGCAGGTGATGTTTCTACAAGCGTATTTGCATGTGCTGTGATAATGTCTGGGTATATAGTAGAGGTGACAAGGGACAAGGTTGTGGTGGCTTCTTGGCCACAGCCAGCTACCCTGATGGAGCAAGTATTGGACCTCTGGGCTCGCAACCATGGTTTCAGGGGACATCAGGTTCAATTGGCACAACATACTACACAAAAACATTGTTCTACATCCTACTTTGGTGAGTAGCAATTGGGGTCTTAAAAGCTTGCAAGCGGCCATGTAGTTGCAACGATGAATCTCTCCTCAAAGAAGAATGAGGAAAAGCAAAGACACATGGAAATAATTAGTTCAAGAGACTAGTAGACCATTTGATCCTCAGCCTATATGACTATGAGACCAGAAGAACTAGATGGTGCTCAGCTACCACTGTCCACCACTCAGAGATGGATTGGTGCAGGAAATCCTGGATAGAGTGGGAGAACAATGTGGAACAAAACTCAAAATCATAACAAAAGACCAGGTTTGCTGGTCTGATAGAGCCTCATGAGACCCCTGAGACTATGGCCCCTAGTTACCCTTCAGGTCTGGAACTGAATTTACTCCTATGGCTTCCAGCAAAACAACAGACAGGCATATGGGGTAAACATTTACATCAGGTAGATACACTCCTCGGAGCGGGGAATGTTTGCACAGGGAGATAGCTGGGGTAGGGGAGTGCATGGGAGGGAAGGATACAGGGAAGAGGCAACAGCAGGGAGGAAGTGAGAAGAGAGCTGTTATGTTGTGGGGAATTGCAGCCAGTGTCTTGAAACAAAATATGTATGACCTGCTGTATGGAAAACGAATTTGCTTTATAAACTTTCACCCAAATCATAAAAAAAAAGGGGTGGTAGAACTCAAAGTATTATCTAGGCCTGGTGTTTTTTTTTTTTTTTTTTTTTTTGTGGCAAGATTTTAAAGTTTACTAATCAAGTTTTTAATTTCTTCTAGAACTAGTTTTCCTGTATAGCTTTCTTTAGCAATATGTCAATTTTATGTAATAATTTAATTTTATCAGCATAAACATGTTCACAGATTCCTTTTTTAATCTTTCTTTTTAATTGTGATTTGGGTGAAAGTTTATAGAGCAAATTGATTTTCCATTCAACAATTCACACATTTTATTTTGTGACATTCATTGCAATCCTCACAATATAATAGCCCTTCCTAGATTTCTTATAGCTTTTAAATCACTCTGTGTCTATAATTCCGTTTAACTTCTAATATTATTCATTTGTGTTTTCTATCCTTTGTCTTGATTATTATTATTAGAAACTCATCTATTTCATGGATATTTTAAAAAGCCAATACTATTGCTTTGTTGAACCACTCTGTTATATCTTAGTTTTCTATATAATTTATTTCTGCCATTTTTATTATAATTATCCTTATTTTACAAGTAAATAACTCAGTAGTTGGACCAGCCATTTTTGCTGCAGAGCAATGTTCTTAACCATTGCACTTTTATGTTTTAAAATCTATTTTGACTCATATATGTATATATATATATATATATATATATATATATATATATATACACACCTATTTTTCTTCTCATTAATATTTTCCTGGTATTTCCTCTTCTACTCTGCTGGTGTAGTGCCTAAGGCACTTGAGTGCTAACCAGAAGGCTGGTGGTTCAAACCCACCAGCCACTCCTCAGAAGGAAGGTTGGGCAATCTACTTCCGTAGTGATATGGCCTCTGAAACCCAAGGAGGGGTCACTATGAGTCAGATCTGACTTGACAGCAGTGAGTATCTCTATATATATAATATTTTCATGTGTTAACATTTTAAATGAGCTTTGTAAGCTGCATGAACTTAAAAAAAAATCCACTTGGTATATCTTTGTCTTTTAACTGACAAATGTAATCCATTTACATTTATTGTAGTCACTGATATATTTGGATATATTTATCCCATCTTTTTGTTTTTCAGTTGTCTTGCTTTCTGTATGTTTTTGTTCTTCTTTCTTGTCTTCAAAAAATAATTGATTGACCTTTGTCCCCTTTTTGGCTGCTTTAGAGTCTGGTTGTCTTGTTGCAGACCTCCGCCCCCAAACTTCACTCACCGGATTATGGTGGGGTATAGCTCCCCTACATAAATAATGATGCAATGGAGGGAGGCAGAGATGCAGCCTTTTCCTAACACAGCCATTGTGGTATGGAGGAGTAACTGCTCTGGAAGGGAACAAAGATGATGATGAGGATGCTGAAAAAGGTTTAGAGAGGCCTTGGGCTTTTTCCACCCTCCTAGGTAGCTGGACTGGGCCAGGAATGGGCCTGGGTCTGGATAAGAACCAATACAGGAGCTAGGATGGTATGAACTCACCAGTAGTATGTACTCACCAAGGGGTACCATTGCATAGACCAGAATGCAGATTCCTGACAAGAGCATTGAGCCCATTTGGGTAAGCCTGCGGCCCAGTGATTTGATGGAGAGCAAGCACAGGAAATACAGTGGCAGGTCCACAGTTGCGAAGAGCATCTGGCTCAGGTAAATATCTATCCCCAAAGTTTGCAGGCTCATGATCATGCCATAAAAGCTGAAGAAGTTTGTAAAGCTGGGGCAAGAGAAGAGACAATACACGTTGGCTATCGCCATACTGTATCTACATAGCCAGTGCAGCTGGTAAACTGCTCTTGCATCTGTTCATTCCCGTGTGTGTGTGTGTGTTTTAAAAATGTTTCAATTCAGAAAGAGAGAATATATCTATTGGATATTAGACCATATTTTAAAATTGCCCAGGAGAAAAGTTTTTTTTTTTTTTTTTTTCCTTAGTAATAGACCCCTTCCTTCCCATTTTGTGCTTTAAGAGACCTGCTTTTTGTAGGTTCATGCTTTGATAAGCTGACTGGGTTGTGGAGTAACTCCAACTTCTGGGATGCTCAAGTAATAATTTTCTAAGAAGGAAGGATTCATTTAATGGCAGAAGTTATGGCCTTTATCCTCTCAACCTCCCCAGCCTGTCCTGTTTTCTCAGACTCACTGCTGTCGAGTTGAACCCAACTCATAGTGACCCCTCCTTGGGTTTCTGAGGCGGTATCACTACAGAAGTAGATCGCCCAACCTTCCTTCCGAGGAGTAGCTGGTGGTTTGAGCAGTCAAATGCATTAGGCACTATGCTATTGCTCTCTTGCCTGAGCTTGATGGACTTACCACAATGGAAAGAGGCAGAGAGAGAGGCGGCGAATGGCAGGGCAGTGCAGTAGCTGCAGCAGTGAGGTCTGGGCTTGGTTCATGGTCACTTCCTTATGTATGTTGGCCTGGAGCACCTGCCAGGATGGGCAGGACTCAGGACCTGGGATCTTCCAGGGGTCTCTCCCCATAATCTCTGCCTTGGGATCACCAGATGTCCGGGGTTGTGGGGTGAGGGTGGGGCAGACACAGCCTGGAAAGGGGTCACAGGAGGTCTTGGGGTCTCACTTCGATATTCAGCTTGGCTCCCTCTTCCTGCTTCCCGTTGATCTGGGCCACTCTCCGCAGGGCCTTCAGGGCGAGGTCCTGTTTCCCAGAGCAGAAGTACCAGAGAGCAGACTCAATGAAGAACCTGAGGGTAGAAGGAAGTGGGAGGTGGGCAGGACTTCACCTGGGTTAACAGAGAGAGAGACTTGTAACTTCCTGAGAAGAGCACAGACAAGTGCGGGAAGCTACCTTAAAGGGGTGAAAAGAATTCTGGGTTAGGAGTTAGGAGTTCTGGGTTCTACTCCCAGGATTTCCACTGCTTCCTCAGGAGATCTGGAACAGTTCCACCCCTCTCTGGGTCATGTCTTCTTTACCTATCAAATTGGGCATTGGTTCTTTCTATTTAGATCTGTTTTGGTAATGAGGGGAGGTAGGAAGTGCTCTGGGAGGTGCTGTGCCCATCTGTGACTTACTGGGAACCTTCTACCCACCCTCAGGTCCCATGTACCTGGAGTAGATGAAGAAGACAAAGAAGGGCAGAGAGACCATCAGCTGTAGGAGGCGCCACTGTGGTATGGCATAAGCTATACCAGCCAGGAGGTACTGGCCCATTATGGGAACAAATCCCAATAGGAAGCCAAAGACTGGCCGGACATCGATGGGCAGCCACTCCAGGCCTGGGGAGAGGAGTTGAGCTTAGGTAGAAGTTACAACTTGTGTGGTTTGTATGCATGTGGGGGGAGGTGGATGGGGAACCTCACGTTGGAGCAGTAGAGCATCTCCAGCTCACTCCAACTCTTTCACTCTAGGGTCCTCAGAGGTTAAGGCAAGGATGGTTTGATTGTTGGCTAGGTTCAGAGTGTATGTGTGTTGCTTTAGTGGAGTAAGGAGTAGGCTAGAAGGCTCTGAATTCTCAGGCATGCTCTTAGTCAGTGTTCCCAACTCCAACACTTCTATTTCCCAGCTTCCCCGAAACCTCTTTACCTGCCTATAGTCACTTCCCTGTACTTTCTTCAACTTATTTTAACCCAACAAACATTTAGGGTTGGCAACTGTCTGCCATGACTTTGCTTGGCCCGAGGAATAGAGATGGGTGAGACTCAGGCCATCCTGTACCAGTGGTTCATTTTTTTCCAATGGTTCACATTTTCTGGCCTCTGGGCCTTATAGATTCTACTCCTTGTCTAGAACCTTGCTCCAGCATCTTATCGTTCTCTTCCTGCCTCTCACAATCTTTCAGTTCTGAGCTTAACTGTCACTTAATCTGGGGGTCTTTTTTCGGCCACCCCCACACCATGACTGAGCACCCCACTTTTTAGCTCCCAGGATGGCCCCCATCCTGAGCTCTAGCACAGTAAATTGTAACTACTTGGCAGCCACCCCCAGTAGATTGTTAACGCTGTGAGGTTATGGGTGGTATCCCTCTTGTTCACTTCTATGTCCCCAGTGCAAGGTCTGACACAAAGCAAGTGCTTGTTGAAATTTTGTTGAATAAATGAATGTTGAATCAAAGGCTCACAGTTTGATTGGCCTTTCTAAGCAGCCCCATTCCAGTCTTTATCAAATCTGTTCTCTTCTTAGTGATCCCTCAATATGCAGGGTGAATTCCAGCCTCCAAATAGCCAGAGCCACCAAAGAGAGGCTGTAACTTTAACTTATTTTTGCCCTGGGCACTGCCTAATCCAGGAGAGGACTTGTCAGGTGGGTATATATTCTGGGACAGGTGGCCTCAGCTTCATACTTAGGGAAGAAACTGAGGTCTGAACTTGTCAGGTCCCCAGGTCCACTGAACCCTTGTGCTTCAGGAGTGTGCATGAACTTGACCCTCCCAGGACCCTCCTCACTCAGTGTCAAGGAGTTGCAGCTGATGCAATTCATAGCCATGGCCGAGAGGAAGCGGCAAGTACAGTAGGCTGGGAAGTTGGGTGCGAAGGCAGCACAGGAACCTGATACCGCTAACTGCAGGTAGACCCAGATCAGCAGCTTCCGGCGGCCCAGCCTATGGGTGGAGGGGAAACCTGTGTCCAGAGAGCATGTCACTTCCTCCCTGCCCTGGGTCCCTGGCTGTTGGGTCCCCAGTGTCTTGGGCAATCAAACAAATGCTTGTGAGGCTGCATATGATCATGACGTAGGTGCTGAGATTGTAAGTGGAGAGAATATAAGGTAAGGGCTGGGATCTGGGGATTCTGAGCCTTTGGAGGCTTGTTGGGTTGTTGATGTCCAGGGTCTGGACAGATCCCAGTACACCTACATAAACCAGTTGTCCTTGAGTCTATTCCAACTCGTGGTGACCCCTTGTATGTCAAAGTAGACCTGTACACCATAGGGTTTTCAGTGGCTATTGTTTTTCAGCAGTAGATCACTGGGTTTTTCTTCTGAAGTGCTTGTGGGTGGACTCGAGTCTCTAACCTTTTGGTTAGCAGCCAAGTGTCCTAACTGTCGCTCCATCAGGGACTCCTCAGACCCTCTCATTAGAATCACAAGGGCACACTGAAGGCAATGCAGGTGCCTGAGCCCCACTCAAGGCTTGTGACCATCTGGAAGGTAAGCTGGGCATCTAATTTTTGACAGCCTTCTCAGTTTTGGGAACTGCTCCTCTGGGTTAAGGTTGATTCTTCTGCTATTAGTTGATGATGATGCCTGTCAGGTCTCTCTCAGGAAACAGTCTTTTGTTGTGATTTTCAATCTCTCTTTTGGGAGAATCTTTGCAAAGTTTATGCTTTTGAAGGACTGCTAGGACTGTGGCTTATACTTTACAAAAAATAAAGCTGATTATGTGTATGTTTGACCTTCTACTTAAAATTCTATTCTATTCTATGGAAAATTGCCCCCTACTTCCTACCTTGGGATCTTTTTGTCCTCTTTGTCCTGGAAGAAGGGTAAGGTCAGGGCAGCAAACACTGAGTTCTAGGTACTGTGCCCTCACCCCAATCCTACAGGGTTACAATCATCACCCCCAATGTTCAGACAGGAAAACCAAGTCCAAGAGAGGTTGTGTGACTTGCCCATACCCAAAACTCCAAACTCACTACCATCAAGTTGATTCTGACTCATAGTGATCCCCATTGGGTTTCTGAGGTGGCAAATCTTTACGGAGATAGATTGCCCTATCTTCCTTCCACGGAGCGGCTGGTGGGTTTGAACCACCAACCTTCTCCTTAGTAGTCCAATGCCTTAGGCACTGTACCACCAGAGCTACACAGTCATACTTGCCCATAGACATACAGTAAACAGCATATCTGAGACTTGTTCCTAGTTCTTATTGATTCTTAAGTCTGTGTTTGTTTCTGTGACACCCCCTGTCACATACAAAGCAGGAGTGGTGGATGGCTACTTCTTCAGGGCATCAGAAAATATGGATTCGAGTCTTGATTTTGCCACTTATTGGCTCTGTGACTGTACTTTTTTTAAAAAAATTAGATATTAAATGTTTGCTTTTCAAATGATAAAAGTGGTATGTGTAAATTAGGAGCTCTGGTAGCATAGTGCCTAAGGCACTTGACTGCTAACCAGAAGGCTGGTGGTACAAACCCACCAGCCACTCCTTGGAAGGAAGATGCGGCAATCTACTTCCGTAGTGATACTGCCTCGGAAACCCAAGGAGGGGTTGCTATGAGTCGGGGTCGACTTGACGGCACATAACAACAACAACACCAATGTGTAAATTATAAAACAAAATGAATTATTATAAAAATTCAAACAATATAGTAATGAAGAGTGAAAAGCAAACATTCTCTCCCTCTTTCCAATTTTGTTCCTCAGAATTAATAACTGATAGCTTTTTTGGGTTTCTTCTAGACACTTTGGAGAAGTTGTTCAGCATCCTTGAACCTCAGTTTCCTTATCAATGAAATGCACGTAACAGTACTACTCATGCTGGCCTCACAAAGTAATTGTGAAGAGTAACTGAAGTGCGAGGAGGCATGGAAGGTGTAGATGGACCACTGAGTGATTCTCAGACTTCCCAGACATGCTTAGGCTTAGATGGATCCGTCTTGTGTCTCTTCTGGACTCTCAGTGATGCAAGCCCCTTGCCCCATGTCCAGCTTAGAGTACTCATGCCTTTGCTCCTTGATCCAACCTTGTTCATCACTGACCTGTCTGACAAGATCCCAAAAAACAAGCTTCCGGTCAGCAACCCTGCCATGTATATGGACTGACTCAGCTGGAGCAAGGTCTTGTGTGTACACACCAGATCCCACTGTGAGGAGGAAAGACTAATGTTAGAGAGCTAGGTGTGGCTCCAGGGAAGCCCCACTCCCACTCTCCTGGTGAGGCTGAGGGCTTGGATTGGGACCAGCACATGAGGGGCACGTCCCCTCCCTCACTACTCACTCTTTCATATCACCTTCTCTGGCAAAAATTATTCAAGTTATTTAAAACCATGTGAAAGATACCTTTTAGACTGCCCAGTCTGCTCTCCCTTCTCTACCACTAACCCCTTGGCCTCCAGAATAGGGTTCCTGCAATCTTGTTTTACCCCATGAGCCTGTCCCTCTTTGGTTACAGCTGACTGACTCTGTAGAAGACACCTGATGTCAAGGCTGGACTCAGTTAATCAGATTGTTTTTATTACAAATTTGGAAATGTAACTCAGAGAAAAACTATTTGTGAGAACATGTAAATTTGGGTAGAAGAGGAGTTGAGAAAGAGAGAGAGAGAAGTAGAAGAGAGAGAAGGAAGAAGAATGAACATAGAACCCCATGTGATGAGTGAGTCAAGGATATTATGGACAGGAACTGAAGAATGAAAGGATTAAGAAGCAAAAGGATGTAGGAAAGGTGTAAGAAGTCCGAGGAGAGCAAAGAGAACCAAATCTTTCTTTAGTCCAATGATGAAATTAGAGTCAGATTAGAAATTGAGCAATGGATTCTGAATACTCAGAAAGAATTTCTCTGTCTCTGATCTGCTCTAAGGCACTTGTTACCTGCAAAAGCAGTGGTTGCATGAAGTTGATATTACCTTAGGGTTATTATTGTCTCTCACCACCTGTGTTTTCTTCATGTGCACCTGAAACCCCTGAAGAAGAAATATTTCTGGATGCTCCTTTGGTAGTGACTTTGGCACTGCTGTCCTTGGGTGCCACTGAGTTGGTTCCAACTCATAGTGACCCCATGAGGCAGAATAGAACTGTCTCATAGGGTTTCTTTGGCTGTAATTGTTTTATTTTAGCATAATTTCTTTCTTTTTTTAAATTTTTATTTTTATTTATGTATTTGTTGTTGTTGTTGTTGTGATTTGGGTGAAAGTTTACAGAGCAAATTCACTTTCCATATAGCAGTTCACATACACTTTGTCTTATGACATTGACCACAATTCACCACAATGCAACAGCTCCCCTCCCACTTCCTCCAGACAGTCATCTCTTCCCTGTGTCCATCCCTCCATGCACTCCTGCCCCCTGAGCCGTCTTCCTGTGCATAAGCAGCCCATCTTTCTCCCATGATTGTTCTCTCCAAGGAGTGTATCTACCTCAGGTAAATATTCAACTCCTATGCCTGTCTTTTGTTTGGCTGGAAGCCACAGGTGTGGGTTCAATTCCAGACCTGAAGGGCAGCTAGGGGCCATAGTCTCAGTGGTTCCACCAGGCTCTATCAGACCAGCAAACCTAGTCCCCTCCCCCTTTTTTTCCAAATGATTTTGAGTTTGGTTCCACATTGTTCTCCCTCTCTATCCAGGATCTCCTACATAGATCCCCCTCTGAGTGGTTTGATCCCACTTACATAGATCTTAAAGGAGTGCAATTCTCAAAGCAGACTTTTTTTTTTTTAAACTAGTTAAGCTAAGTTATTGTTTGGTTTTAACAAGACTTCAGGGATATTTTTGGTTTAAGGTTTAAAGATTATCTCAGGGCAATAGTTTCAGGGTTTTTTGCAGCATCCATGACTCCAGAAAGTCTGGAGTCCATGAGATTTTGAAGTTCCGTTCTGCATCCCTCTCCCTTTGATCAGAATTCTTCTATAGAATCTTTGATCAAAATGTTCAGTAATGGTGGCTGGGCACCCTCCAGCTCTGGTCTCATGTCAAAGGAAGGAGCTGTTCATGGATGCAGTTAGCCACACATTCCATATCCTCCCCCCTGTTCCCGACTGTCCTGGTTCCCTGGTGCTGCTCTGACATGCATATACTACAAATGGGATGGCCTTAACGAACAGGAGTTTATGTTCTCAGAGCTTGGAGACTTTAAGTCCAAGTTCATAGTGCCAGGCTCTAGGGGCTGTATGAAAGCCCCTCAACCTTGAGCTTCAGCTCTGTCTCCTGCTCCTGACCCACTGAAGCTGGAGGCTTTTCTTCACTCAGACAGCTGCTGGCTGCTGAGGCTGACAAGCCCAAGGATGACAAGTAATAAGGTACAGTCCCGATATTACCAAACCACACGGCAGGCCATTAATTCAAGTCCATTGAAAATCCCAAGGTTGGCAGAACATGGCAGGTTACTAAACAATGACATGGCTACATGCATGGTTCAAGTGTGCCTAAGCTAGAGACCATTCCCCAAGGCTTCTCCTTATATACAAGAAGCAGACCACATCCCTAAGGCAGCTACTCAGCTGCTCACAGTAGATTCCACCATGAAGTTGATTACCAGTCTCATCATGGAGAATACTACATCCAGCTGCCCAGCCACTCAGCCAGGCCCAGCCAAGTTGACACACAAACTGAACTACCACACTGACTCTCCTTCTTCCTCTGTTAAAACCAAAAAAACCAAACTCACTGCCGTTGAGTCAATTGCGACTCATAGTGACTCCTCCTTGAATTTCTGAGGCGGTATCTTCTTCTGTTGCTACAGGCAAATAGAGACCGATTGTTATGCCTTGCATGACTACTTGCAAGCTTTTAAGACCCCAAGCACTACACAGCAAACTAGGAGGTGGAACAGAACCTTAACCACATTATTAGGCCAATTAACTGGGATGTCCCATGTTGGTATGACCTTACCCTCCAAACCAAGGAACCAAATGCCATGAGGTGTTTGGTTGTATTTGGCTGCAATCTTTTTTTTTTTTTTTT